CACATCAAGTGGTTGCCACCCACACGACCCAACCAGGGCCGGGGACAGACTGCAACCGAGGTATGTGCCCTTAGCGGGAACCAAACCCAGGTCCCTCTGGACCACAGGCTAACGCTCTAACCGCTGAGCCAAACCGGCCAGGGCTAGTCTTACAACTTCTTAAACAATTGTTGGTATAATTGGAAAGCACCTACAAATTAAATGTACAGAGACTACAAAACAGTCTTCCCAACTACAACTTCCTCAACCCCCATTTCCACAACCCAGATCCCTGCATTGGTGCTCTGGGTAGCAGCCATGCACCTTCCCAGGCAACTCAGATTACAAAGAAAAGTAGTTAATAGAAGCTGAACGCTCTTATAGACCATCACACAAAAATGATTTAACTCCTATGAAGAATGGATCCAGCCCTGGCTAATTTTGCTCAGTGGTTAGAGCGTCGGCCTGTGGACCAAAGGATTGTGGGTTTGAATCCTTGTCAAGGGCATGTACCTGAGTTATAGGTTTGATCCCCAGCACCAGTTGGGGTCATACGGGAGGCAACCAGTCAATGTGTCTCTCTCACATCAATGTTTCTGTCTCCCTCTTCTTCCCTTCCACTCTGTCTAAAAATCAATGGAAAAATATCCTCAGGTGAGGATTAAACAAACAAACAAAGAATGGATCCATGTAAGTGTCAATAATGTTTTGTCTTGGCTGGGCTGGAATGCCACAGGACTCAACCTCTGCCCCACCCCACTGACTGCCTGTACCTAACTGCATGCTCTGACTTATCCCTCGCGTCCTATTCAAGAAACACAGGCTACTCCAAGAAAATTGAGCAAGAACAGTATCATGCCCATCAGAGGTGGAGAGGCAGTAGTTTTCTCCATGAAACTAACATACACGATAATAGGCAGGTAGCCCAAGCACTGTTGCAAAGTTGGCTTTTAGAAGCAATTGATGTGAAAGTGTACAGCCTGGTGTCACAAAAGTTAGGTGTAGGTTTTCCATTCAAAACTTTCTTATTAGGCCCTGGCCGGTTTGGCTCAGCGGTTAGAGCGCCCGCCTGCGGTCCGGAGAGACCTGGGTTTGGTTCCCGCTAAGGGCATGTACCTTGGTTGCAGTTTGTCCCCGGCCCTGGTTGGTCGTGCGGGTGGCAGCCACTCGATGTGTCCCTTTCACATCGATGTTTCCCTCTCTCTCTCTCCCTCCCACTCTGTCTATACAAAAAATGGAAAAATGTCCTCGGGTGAGGATAAAAAAACAAAAACAAAAAAAACAAACAAACAAAAAAAAAACTTTCTTATTAGAAATTTCCCCAAATCATATAGCTTCTCTTACTTCATTTCTTGGTCCTCGCCCATGGTCAATTGTTTTTACATAGAAGATATTCAACTTAGTTATACAACAAAAATAAAAATTAGTCCCTAAATATTGAAAGTAAAATTAAACAAATGAACCTGTGTATTAAATTAGTGGCGTAACCACACAGACAAAAACAGTTTCATGTCAGTTTAAGATACAGTAATTTCGCCCTGGCCAGTTTGGCTCAGCGGTTAGAGCGTCGGCCTGCGGTCCCGAGAGACCCGGGTTCGGTTCCCGCTAAGGGCACGTACTTCAGTTGCAGTTTGTCCCCGGCCCTGGTTGGTCGTGCGGGTGGCAGCCACTCGATGTGTCCCTTCACGTCGATGTTTCTCTCTCTCTCTTCCTTCCTCTCTCTCCCTCCCACTCTGTCTGTGCAAAAAATGGAAAAGTGTCCTCAGGTGAGGATTAAAAAAAAAAAAAAAAAAAGATACAGTAATTTCATCGTGCATCCGTAGTGGGGGTATGCCCTAAGGATAAAAAAAATCTTCAACTCTTTTTAGTAATTCTTTTGTTGGTGGTAATGTTGGTATTTTTACACTGACACCGCTGTATGTGTATTTTGGGATAAAATAAATGAGTAATTATACTGGGGACATTGAGAGCTGGAATTTTTGTGCAGAAAAAGGGAAATACATATATAAGATTATTGAGGTTAAATAAACTATCTATAGTCTTCAGAAGTATCAATGTGAATAATTCATGATGTGTTTTATCTTCAAATAAGATTCTACCTCTATTCACCAATTGGAAAAAAAAGATATCCAATTGTGTGGTCCACTTTTTCCATTTAACATTATGTCATACATATTTTCTTTCAATTCCCAAAAAGGGGGTTTCCAATAATTAGTGCCATTAGTTTTCATGGCCTGATAAGTTACTTCTTAGGAACAACGGCCAAGAGGCCATCTAGCTACTAGTAGAATAGATTCAGAATTTCCACAGCAAACTCAACGCGTCTTCAAAAGTTAAAGTCTGTATCCCAGCCAGTTTTGCTCAGTGGTTAGAGCATTGGCCTGTGGTCTGGAGAGACCCGGGTTCGGTTCCTGCTAAGGGCACGTACCTCGGTTGCAGTTTGTCCCCATCCCTGGTTGGGTCATGTGGGTGGCAACCACTCGATGTGTCCCTTTCACGTCGATGTTTCTCTCTCTCTCTCTCTCTCTCTCTCTCTCTCTCTCTCTCTCTTTCTCCCTCTCTCTCTCTCTCTTTCTCCCACTTTATCTGAACAAAATATCAAAAAATGTCCTCGGGTGAGGATAAAAAAAAAATTAAAGTCTGTAGAACTAGTGTTCCAGTGCTTTTTCATTTAAAAACAGTGTAAAATGAGCCTGGCCAGTATGGCTCAGTGGTTGAGCAATGACCCATGCACCAAGAGGTCCCTGGTTGGATTCTTGGTCAGGGCACATGCCCAGGTTGTGGACCGAATCCCCAGTTGGGGGCACGCAGGAGACGGCCAATCATGTTCTCTCTTTGATGTTTCTCTCTCTCCCTCTCCCTTCCTCTTTCTAAAATCAATAAAGAAAAAATATTTAAAAACAGAGTAAAATGAATAGAAATAATGATCATTAACCACGTGTTGCTAAGCTAGTCAAGTATATGCTGGGACTAGTTTAAGGGGTCCAACAAGGAGGGGAGTTTACAAATACCTTTTGCTGGAATACATTGGTGGAGATGGTTGTCTGCGGGGGAGGGATATGCAATTTTTCTCTAGGCTGCAAACTTAACTGCAGTGCTATCAGGCTCAAATCATTAACATAGAATTTGTGCCCTCTAAGCTAATTGGGCAATATGGGGCTTAGACATCACAGCTAACCACCAATTAAGATAAACCTTACTCAGAATAGAGAACCCAGAAATGGACCCAAGGCAATATGCTCAATTAATATTTGACAGAGGTGGCAAAAGCATACAGTGGAGTAAGGACAGCCTCTTTAATAAATGGTGCTGGGAAAATTGGACAGCTACTTGCAGAAAAATGAAACTAGACCATCACCTTACACCCTACACCAGAATAAACTCAAAATGGATAAAAGACTTAAATGTAACTCATGAATCCATAAAAATCCTAGAAGAGACTGTGGGCAACAAAATTTCAGACATCATATGCAGCAGAATTGTTACTGACACATCACCTAAGGCAACAGAAACAAAGGAGAAAATGAACACATGGGACTACATCAAACTCAAAAGCTTCTGCACAGCGAGAGATACAATCATCAAAACGGAAAGGCTACCCACTGTATGGGAGAGCATAATTGCCAATGATATATCAGATAAGGGGTTAATTTCCAATACATATAGAGTGCTCATACAACTCCACAAAAGGAAGACAAAGAACCCAATTAAAAAATGGGCAGAGGAACTAAATAGACACCTCTCCAAACAGGACATACAAATGGCTAAGAAACATATGAAGAAATGCTCACCATCACTAATCATCAGAGAGATGCAAATCAAAACAATGAGCTATCACCTCACACCTGTCAGAATGGCCGCCATCAACAAATCATCAAACAACAAGTGTTGGCGAGGGTGTGGAGAAAAGGGGACTCTAGTACACTGCTGGTGGGAATGCAGACTGGTGCAGCCACTATGGAAAACAATATGGTGTCACCTTAAAAAATTAAAAATTGATCTTCCATTTGACCCAGTGATCCCACTTCTAGGAATATACCCTAAGAAGCATAAAACACCAATCAGAAAGAATATATGTACCCCCATCTTTGTAGCAGCACTATGTACAATCGCTAAGATCTGGAAACAGCCCAAGTGTCCATCAGTACACAAATGGATCAGAAAGCTGTGGTACATATACACAATGGAGTACTACGCAGCAGTAAGAAAGAAAGATCTCTTATCCTTTGAGACTACATGGAGGGACCTTGAAAGTATCATCCTAAGTGAAACAAGCCAAACAGAGAAAGACAAGTTTCATATGATCTCACTTATTTGTGGAATATAATGAACATAACAGTTTGAGGAATGGGGTAGTCCCAGAGACTGACAATCCCCTAAGGAGTGGGGAGGTGGGGGAGGGATGAACCACAGAACTTATACGCATGTATGCATGAACAGTGGACATGGACAACAATCTGGGGAAGGGGCAGGGAGGGAGGGGAAGGGGGGAAAAGGAGAAACATCTCTAAGAAAAATTAATCAATAAAAAATAAATAAACAAAAAAAATTTAAAAATTAAAAAAAAAGATAAACCTTACTTACTTTGCTTGGGATTGGAAAGAAAAAAATTGAGTGTATGTGTGTGTGCGCGCGCGTGCGTGCATGTGTATTCATGTGTGTGCACGCATGCAGCGCATACACGCATACATACACACACAAAAAAACTTATATGTAAATTTTCATTGTGTTTCTTGTTCATACAGCCGCTCAGTGAAAAGTGTCCTGTGGTCTGTCGTCCTGCCCTTCCCTTCAGGTATTTCAAGCAGAGGATGAAGAAAGGACAAGGTCCCCAGTCCAGTTTAGACTTGAGCAACCTCTTTCGGAACTGGAAGGATGCACGGACCCTGTTGCCGCACCGGCTTCTTTATACCGATGCACACATCGGCTCCCGTGGGCAGGACAAACTAAGCTCGGGGAAGGTATTTGCCGACGTACCCGGAACTATTTCCAAGGTTTTCTCAGATTCGGGTTGTGGCGCAGTGACAGGTTCTGGGAGCTAAAGCAACCGATCCCTTCCCAGGTTAGCTAGGCCGCCCCCTTCCCCACCCCGGCTTCGGGGCCCCAGCGGCAGTGATGGCTCCGGTGTCTGGTTCGCGCAGCCCGGAGAGGGAGGCCTCGGGCTCCAGGGTGAAGCGTCGCAGTTCGTCGAGGAGCCCTAAACCCAGCAAATCCGCCCGCTCCCCGCGGGGCCGCCGCTCCCGCTCGCACTCTTGCTCTCGGTCTGGGGATCGGAATGGCCTCAGCCACCAGCCGAGTGGCCTCAGCCAAGGGTCCCGAAAGCAGCCCTACCGCTCCCGTTCGCGGTCACGCTCTCGAGAGCGGCCCTCTGCGACGCGGGGCATCCCCTTCGCTTCTGCCTCCTCGTCCACCTATTATGGAGGCTACTCACGCCCCTACGGGAGCGACAAGCCGTGGCCTAGCCTCCTGGACAAGGAGAGGGAGGAGAGCCTGCGGCAGAAGTGAGTGAGACGGACGCACCCTCTCTCGCGCCCACTTGCCTTCCGAATCGATTTATATAGTTCTTCCCAACTCTTCGCATTTCGCTCTTTCTGCCTGCCTTGCGCCCATTTTCATCCCTTCGGTCCACCCACGACAAAGCCTTACTCGCTCTTTTCTTCCCTTAGGTTTCCATTCATCCTCGGTCCCCTTTATGCAGTGCCCTGGTCTCTCGCTACCCCTTTCTTCATCCTGACTTGTAACGGACAAGGCCGCGAGCCTCAGACCTACCGAATTATATAGCGTTTACTTGATTGCGTGGCTATCATTCGTGAGCATGTTTTTATTCCCCATTAGACTGATCTCATGGAAAGAAGGAGCCCTGTTTTATTGATTACAAAATCCACAGTACTTTGTAGGAACGCAACCGTTGTTTGTTGAGTGATCAGACAGATTTGAAATAACAGGATATGTAAGTGGAAATGTTTTATAGCGAGTTGTGAAGGGTTGAGATTAAGGGTTTACATTGGAGAGGAGAAAAACCTCTGAAACAAGATAATCGAATGAATGGAGGAAAAGCGATCTGCTAAACTGTTTATGCTATGTTGAGAAAGATCTTGTTAAGTGTTCTCAATCTTGACCATGTAAAGTTAAGGTCAGGGTGAGATCAGGTCTCTAATAAGAGTGAGTATTGGATTGGGAAAATGGATAGTTTAAGTAGAAAGGAAAGGGGTTATAATTATTGCTAAGTCTTAATATCTAATGCTTATTGAGTGTTAAATTATGTGTCAGGTACTGTACTAAGTGCTTTACATGCACTATGTGTTTAAAAATAAATTTAAAACTATTACAGACATTGAGGTTAAGGTTATAACATCTGGGAGATGTCCCCATGAATTGTTTTCTTCCAGGACTGGGAAGTCCATAAAGCACAGTGATGAAGAGGACAGGCTCCAGAATCAGACTGCCTCTGAATTTGAAGCCCTGCTTTGCTACTTAATAGTTATGTGACCTTGGGCAAGTTACTTAACCTCTATGAGCTTTATTTCTTCACTGTTTAAAAGGGGATGAAATTAGCAGGATTGCTTTCAGCGTTGTAATGATTGAGTGCTTAGAACATAATAAAGAGTCCTTAAATGTTAGCTATTAGGTTTCCTGCATGGGAACAGAAACAGTAAAAAATGATTCTGAATTAGGTTGGAGACCTCTAACTTAAATTTTTCAGAAAGTTATCCTAAGGCTGTGTCCATCAAAAAGCAACCAGCTTCTTACTAGACAATCCTCTCTAAAAGAAGTTAGAACTTCTTGCATGAAATTTACATTTGTACATTTAAAAGATAAATAATTTATCTTAAGAGGACAGATGGCACCAGGGGTGAGAATTTAACTGCTTGCTCTTTACAGCCTGTGTACATAGTATTCCAACTTCAGTTATATGTCCCTTTTTAGACTATCTGTTTCTTCAAGTGGGAAACCTGACTCTGACTGCATGATTATAATACCTCTTCCTCTGAATAAAAAAGTAAGAAATAGTTTATTCAAACAATCAAACCAATTATATTTATTTGGTAAGGTTTTTAAACAAATGGAGTTACAAGCAGCTAAAGTTTGAAGAATTGGGCCTTCCTTAGTTTTGTGTATTTTGTTTGTTTATGAGTAATAACAAAAATTAAAAGAAGAAATCACAAACATAAAACAAGAAAAAAAAGTTTGTGTCCTTCAAGAGTAGATAGAGATACACTCCTTTTCTAAAAAAAAAAAAAAAAGAACCAGAGCGAAAACAAACCTTGTATCCCATCGAGTACAGTTTTTGTCAAATAAAACTTTTGTTTTCAGAGCTTCCTTTATTTTCTACTTCTAATGCTTCGTTTTTATTTCCTTCATTAATTCTTGATTTTCAGCAAATGGAAGGTTTGACCAAACAAAAGTAATGACTTCTCTTTCTTTTCATAAATGTGTGTAAACAAATGAAGTATTTCCAAATGTAAAACTGTTTCCATCACATATTGCAGAAGATGAAATGAGCAGTTGAGCGCCATGTCATGTATGCAGCAGAAAAGGATACACTTGACAGGCTCCCAGGTTGCATTTCTGGCCTAGTCTGTAGTCTGGCCTATCTATAGTCTGTACCATTTGATGGTATTATCAAAACATCAGATTATAATTGTTGAGCTATATTTAAACCAAATTTTTAATTAATTTGAAGTTTAAACTGTAAAGAGAACATAAGACTTAACTGGACTCCTTTGAATTTAATTATATATTTAGGAAACACAATTTATCCATGGAGTTATCATTTAAATGCCTTTTTCTTCTAGGAGATTAAGTGAGAGAGAGAGGATTGGAGAATTGGGAGCTCCTGAAGTATGGGGACTTTCTCCAAAGAATCCAGAACCAGAGTAAGTGCTTAAAATATATATTTTTTTAAATATAACATTTGTTTAAATCCAGTCTGTTGTCAAAATTTTTAAGTGAAGAACTTTAAGTACAGCTCACATTTTTCTTCTTTCTTGTGATTTATGCTATTCTACCTCTTAAGTTTTAAAAACATTGAATATACCTAAAGATTAAAACATGTTGCTAGTAGATTTTAGCATGCTAATAGTTTTCTTAAATTGTTATTCACGGGGGTGCTAATTTTCTATTTATAGAAGAGTTCAGTGTTTAAACAAATACATTTATATAATTCCTAATTATTTTTTTCTCAATCTAATAGATTTCATGTCAGATGTTAGCTTTACAAAGGGACTTTTTGAGATAATAATTGACATATAACATATTAGTTTCAGGTGTACAACATAATGACTTGATATTTGTATACAGGGGTGGACAAAAGTAGATTTACAGTTCATATGGAAAATAGTATGATAATAAGTAATAACACAAGAATAAGATCTGTGTTTCACATACTCAAAATTGTAAACCTATTTTTGCCCCACCCTTTACATTCTTGGCTCCTTTGTTGTAAATTAATTGACCATATATATGTGGGTTTATTTCTGGGCTCTCTATTCTGTTGCCAAATGAATTTTTTACAGTGAATATACTGATAGGGTTTTGTTTTGTTTTCCAAAAAGGAATACAAAGTATTTTCTAAACTATTATGGAATTTTTTATAATACTCATTTTCAGAATTCTCTACAACAGAATGAAATGTGTTTATATTGTAGTGTGTGAGGGTCTTCTTGCTCGGGGAAAACAGAACAGTTGCTACTCTGCCATATGTTCTTTACACATGTACAATAAGATTACGACATCTTCCCTCAGCCTTCTTTATTTATTTATCTATCTATTTATTTTTCAATCCTCACCTGAGGATATTTTTCTATTTGTCTTCAGATAGAGTAGGAGGGAGGGAGAGAGAGAAACATCAACACATTGACTGGTTGCCTCCCACATGAACCAGGGCCGAGGATGAACCGCAACCAAGGTACGTGCCCTTGACCAGAATGGAACCTGTGGTCCACAGGCCAACACTCTAACTGTTGAGCCAAACTGACCAGGTCTCCCTCAGCCTTATTTCCACTTTCTTTCCTCTTTCCTTATGGCTCCCATTTCCTTACTTTTGGTTTCTTCTGAAAATATAAGTCTTAGAATCTTACTTGCTTATTTCAGTTTAAATAGCACTTTGTAAACTCTAAAGCATTATGCAAATGTAAATTATTATTATGTTATTATGAAGGTAGTAAATCCTTAAACTGTATTCTTAACAAAAGCAGGCCATGGCTTACCTTTTTTTTTATCCTCACCTGAGGACATTTTTCCATTTTGTTGTTCAGATAAAGTGGAAGGGAGAGAGAGAGAACGAAACATCAACGTGAAAGGGACCCATCGAGTGGCTGCCACCCGCACAACCCAACCAGGGCCAGGGCCAAACTGCAACTGAGGTACATGCCCTTAGCAGGAACCGAACTCTTGAGACCGCAGGCCAATGCTCTAACCGCTGAGCCAAACCAGCCAGGGCCGTTGCTTACTTTTAATGGTTCTTGGAAATCATTTGTTACCAAAAAATTTTAAGCCTATATTTTTATACTCCATGGTCCATATTTTATCACTTTTCTGATTCTTTTTTTATTTTTAAATTACAGTTAAGCCCTGGCTGGTTTGGCTCAGCAGTTAGAGCATTGGTTCAGGGAACGAAGGGTTGCAAATTCAATTTCTGGTCAGGGGCACGTACCTGGGTTGCAAGTTTGATCCCCAACCCTAGTCAGGGCCTTGCGGGAAGCAACCAATCAATGTGTCGCTCTCTCACATAGATGTTTCTCTCTCTCCCTCCCTCCCTTCCACACTATCTAAAAATCAGTGGAATCCGGCAAGTGTGGCTCAGTGGATTGAGCATCATCCCATGGACTGAGAGGTCGAAGTTTGATTACCAGTCAGGGCACATGCCTGGGTTGTGGGCTCGATCCCCAGTAGGGGCATGCTGAAGGCAGCTGATCAATGTTTCTCATATTGGTGTTTTTCTCTCTTCCTCCCCCTTCCTCTCTCTCTAAAATCAATAATCAGTAAAAACATATTTTTTCAAAAAACATATGGATGTATATGTCTTTTTTAAATTTTTATTTATTGATTTTAGAGAAAGAGAAAGGAAGGGGGAGAGACATCAATTTGTTGTTTCACTTATTTATGTATTCATTGGTTGCTCCTTGTATGTGCCCTGACTAGGGACAAAACCCACAACTTTGGTGTATAAGGACAACACTTTAACCAACTGAGCTACCTGACCAGGGCTATATGTCTTTTTGATTTAGTGTTTTGTGTTTCTTCAGATAAATACACAGAAGTTGAGTTGCTGGGTCCTTCCTTATCTTTTGTTATAGCCTTTGCTTTAGTCTATTTTGTCTGGTATAAGTATTGCTACCCCAGCTTTTTGTTTTGTTTCCATTTTCATAAAATATCTTTTTTCATCCCTTTACTTTCAGTCTGTGTGTCTTTCAGTCTGAAGTATGTCTCTTTTAGACAGCATTTGTAAGGGTCTTGTTTTATTATCCATTGAGCCAACATATATCTTTTTTTTAGTCCTTACCCAAGGATGTTTTTATTGATTTTAGAGAGAGGAGAAAGGATAGAAAGAGAGAAACATCAACGTAAGAGAGAAACATTGATCAGTTGCTTCCCATACACATCCAGACTGGGGATCGAACCTGCAACCTTTTGGTGTATGAGATGATGCTCCAAACAACTGAGTCACCTGGCCAGGGCCCACCGTATATCTTTTGATTGGAGCATTTAACCCATTTGTATTTAAAATAATTGTCGAGAGGTAATGTATGTATTGCCATTTTATTATTCATATTTTTTATCTTTTATTCTTCTTAAAGAAGACCGTTTAATATTTATTGTGATACTAATTTGGTGGTGATGAGCTCCTTTAGCTTTTTCTTGTCTGGGAAGCTCTTTTACCTGTCCTTTGATTCTAAATGATAACTTTGCTGGGTAGAGTAATCTTGGTTGTCGATCCTTGCTTTTCAATACTTTGAATATTCCATGCCAATCCCATCTGGCCTGCAAAGTTTCTGTTGAGAAATCAGCTGACATTCTTATGGGAGCTCCCTTATAGGTTACTAACTGCTTTTCTCTTGCTGCTTTTAAGATTCTCTCTTTGGCCCTGGCTCATTGTCCAATATGCCAAGGTTGTAAATTCAATCCCCAGTCAGAACACATGCAAGAATCAACCAATGAATACATAAATGAGTGGAACAACAAATCAATGTGTCTGTCTGTCTCTCTCTCTCTCTCTCTCTCAAATCAATCAATAAAAAAATTTAAAAAGATTCTCCCTTTGTCTTTAACTTTGGGCATTTTAATTATGTGTCTTGGGGGGTCAATGGGGATAAAAGGGGAATATCTGTAATACTTTCAACAATAAAAAAAATAATTATGATGTGTCTTGGTGTGGGCCTCTTTGGGTTCATTTTGTTTTGGGACTCTGTGCTTCCTGGACTTGTATGTCTATTTTCTTTAGCAGTTTATGGGAGTTTTCCATCATTTTTCTTTTTTACTAATTTATTTCTTTATTACAGATACCCCTTCTTTTTCCCCCCATTGACACCCTCCTCCCCACCCCACCCCCCGGGTCTTTACCACACTGTTGTTTGTGCCCATTGGTTATGCATATATGTGTTTAAATTCTTTGGTTTATCTCCTCCCACCCACCTCCTCAAATAGGTTTTCAATTCCTCGCTGTCTCTTCTCCTTCTGGCATCCCCATGGTGCGAATGTTGGCATGCTTGAAGTTGTCCCAGAGGCTCCTTACACTATCCTCATTTTTTGGATTCTTTTTTCTTTTTCTTTGGTTAACTCTAACCCAAGGATATTTTTCCATTGATTTTTAGATAGACTGGGAGGGAGGGAGAGAGAGAGAGAGAAAGAGAAACATCGATGTGAAAGAGACACATTGATTGGCTGCCTCACACACGACCCCAGCCAGGGCTGGGTATCAAACCTGCAACCCAGGTATGTGCCCTTGACCAGGAATCAAACCCAAGACCCTTCAGGCAGCAGGTCAGTTCTCTTAACTGCTGAGCCAAACTGGCCAGGGCAGATTCTTTCTTTCTGTTTTTTATTTTTTGGGGTTTTTTTTGCTGTTCTGACTGGGTGTTTTTGTTTTCTTATATTCCAAACTACTGATTTGATTCTTTGCTTTATTTATTCTTCTGGTGATTTCCTGTTATTTATTCTTCATTTCAGTTAGTGTGTCCTTCATTTCTGACTGATCCTTTTTTATGGTTTCCATATCCTTTATTTTATTTTTAATCCTCACTCGCTGATGTTTTTTTTTTTAATTGATTTGAGAGAGAGAGAGAGAGAGAGAGAGAGAGACATTGATGTGATAGAGAAACATCGATCGGTTGCCTCCTGCATGCACCTCGACCAGGGATCGAACACACATCTTGTATATCTGCCCTGACTAGGAATTGAACCTGTGACCCTTTGGTGTATGGGATGATGCTCCAACCAACTGAGCCACACTGGGCTGGGCTCCATGTCCTTTTTTATGCTGTTGATATTCTCACTAAGTTCCTTGAACATTCTTATAACCAGTGTTTAGTTCTTTTTCTGGAGTTTTGTTCTGTTCTTTCATTTAGGACCTGTTTCTTTGTCTCCTCCTTTTGGCAGCCTCCCTGTATTTGTTTCTGTGTATTAGGTAGAGCTGCTATGTCTCCCAGTCTTGATAGAGTGGCCTTATGTAGTATGTGTCCTATAGGGCCCAGTGGCACAGCGTCCCTGGTCACCTGAGCTGGGCATTCCAGATGTCCCTCCTGTGTGGGCTGTGTGTACTGTCCTGTTTTAGTTGAGCCTTGATTGCTGTTGGCAGGGAACTGGGAGGGATCGATGCCCTCCAAGGCCAATCGGCTGCAAGGACCAGTTGCAACTATAGCAGAGGAGCTGCTGTGCAGGCACCATCCCCACAGAACAGGACTCACTTCAGTGGGGCTTTGGTGCCCACTGAGTCCACCCTTTCAGTGTGTAGCTCGTAGAGGTGGTTGGGTTATAATCCATCTTGGTCTAAAGCTGCCCACTAGGTATGCTGGCTCGGAGGCCTCCTGGGAGGTGCAAAGTCAACCACCATCTGTGCCCTGCCTGGGTCCATCTGGCATGAGCTACTGCAGATGGCTTCTACTTGTGCTGGGCTTGGAGGTGCCGGGGAGAGGCCAAGCTGCAAACCAAGTCCAGCTGCCACTAGGGCCATTTAGCAAAAGGTACAGGGTACACAGAGGCCAGATGCTTGCTGCTTGAGAGATTTTACAAAAGTCCGAAGCATGAGGCAAGAGGGGCTCTTTGTATGGAAAAGCTACTGCAAAGGGCTTTGGTGGTCCTGAAAGTTGGGTGGGGCGGGGTCTCGGGGAGTCACCAGGGTGGGGCAAACAGTGTGAGCCGGCTTGATGGACACTCAGATATGGTGTCTGCCTACCAGTTCTGTATGGTGAGGGGTCAGGAAAGGAACAGTGGCCTCTGCCAGCACTTCTGTCTGGGAGAAATCTGCCCCTCCAGCCCTCACCCCGATGCCAGATAATTCAGTTCCTCCCCATATATCCCTGATGCCTTTCAAACTGCTGCCCCAGCATGGACCTCAGAGAGAGTGAGTCTGAGTAAGGCCATGCATGGGCCCTTCAGGACGTACACCTGGGTCTCCAGAAGCCTCTGTCTCACCCAGCCAAAATCCCTGTTGGGGTTTTTTTTTGTTTTTGTTTTTTAAATATGTTTTGATTGATTTTTAGAGAGAGAGGACAGGAGAGAAACATTGATGTGAGAGAGAAACATCGATCGGCTGCTACCTGCACACCCCCCACTGGGGATCGAGCCCACAACCTGGGCATGTCCCCTGACCAGGAATCAAACTGGGACCTCTCAGTCCATAGGACAATGCTCAATCCACTGAGCCACACTGGCCAGGCTACCTGCTGATTTTTATAACCAGAAGTTATGGTACCTTCTCTTCCTGGCACTGGAACCCTGGGCAAGGGGTTCTGATGTGGGGCTGGGACTCACAGTTCCTCAGAGGAGAACCTCTGCAGCCAAGGTATCCCTTCCAATTTTTAACCGCCACACGTGGGTGTGTGACCAGCCTGTTCAGTATCTCTGCCCCTCCTGCCAGTCTTGATGTAGCTTCTGTAGATTTTTAATTGTGGGACTTCTGTTCAGCTAGATTTCAAGTAGTTTTGAATGATGGTTGTTCTGTAGTTTATTTGTAATTTTGATGTGGTTGTGGGAGGTTCCAAGTACTGCATTTACCTACTCCATCATCTTGACCAGCTCCCCATTTTTCTGATTCTTATAACCATGTCCTTTAAATTCAGCTCTGATGAACATACACCAGTAGAGGATGAAGAGCCAAAGAAAAGCACCACTTCAGCTTCTACTTCGGAAGGTACATTTTAAATACAGAGCTTTTTTTAAATTTAGAAGTTAAAAAATAAGTTTATAAATAATGAACATTATGTTTTCCTTTTGTTCAAATTGTCTATCACGTTCCTTTTCAGTATTTCAAGTACAGTAAAATTGATATTCAGAAATACTTCTTTAGAAGTTAGTTTTTATTTGTATTTTATGTAGAAGAAAAGAAGAAGAAGAAGAAGTCTAGTCATTCTAAAGAAAGGTCCAAGAAAAGGAGAAAGAAAAAATCATCTAAAAGAAAACACAAGAAGTATTCTGACGATAGCAATAGTGACTCTGATTCTGAAACAGACTCCAGTGGTAAGAAAGTCAACATCATTCTATAAGCCTTGCTTCAAAACTGCTTTTACTTCTGCCCTGGCCGGTTTGGCTCAGCGGGTAGTGTCGGCCCACAGACCAAAGGGATTAAGGGTTCAATTCCTGGTCAAGGGCACATACCTGGGTTGTAAATTCTATCCCCAGCCCTGATCAGGGTTGTGCAGAAGGCAACCAATTGATGTGTCTCTCTCCCCCTGCCTCCCTCTCTTCCACTCCCTGTAAAAAAAAAAAAAAAAATCAATGGAAAAAATATCCTCAAGTGAGGAATAACAAAAAAACTACTTTTACCTTTTTTTTTAATCCTCACCAGAGGACACTTTTTTTGCATTTTCTTCAGATAGAGTGGGAGGGAGAGAAGGAGGAAGTGAGAGAGAGAAACATCGATGTGAGAGAGATGCATGGAGTGGTTGCCACCCACATGACCCCAACCGGGGCCAGGGACAAACTACAACCAAAGTACGTGCTCTTAGCAGACTCTCCGGTCCGCGGGCCGAAGCTCTAACCACTGAGCCAAACCAGCCAGAGCTACTTTTTTATCCTCACCGGAGGACATTTTTCTATTTTTTGTTCCGGTAGAGTGAAAGGGAGAGAGAGGAACAAAGAGAGAGAGAGAGAGAAACATCGATGTGAAAGGAACACATCGAGTGGCTGCCACCCGCACAACCCACCAGGGCTGGGGACAAACTGCAACCGAGGTACATGCCCTTAGCGGGAACCGAACCCGGGTCTCTCAGGACCGCAGGTCGACGCTCTAACCGCTGAGCCAAACCGGCCAGGGCCGGCCAGAGCTACTTTTACTTCTTAAAGTTTATTTCAGAAGTAGGTTCTTAAAAACAATAATAGCAGTCAAGAGTTTTTGAACATTTACTGACTTTGTGTCAGGCACCCTGCTAAGTGCTTGCTATTTAATCCACACAGTAACTGTAGGATACATCTTAGAGATGGGGAAAGGGAGGCACAGAACAGCTTAAAGTACCACCCTCAAGGTCACACCTTTGGGATTCAAACCTAAGCAGTGTGACTCTAGATTGTGTGTAGTTGTACAAGGTATGTAGCACTGAACCAAGTCGGGGTTGGGCTGCGAGACGTGTGGTACCAAACCAAGCCTGCATCCACCCAGTGGAGCACATCTTTGGTGTCGTTGTCACACTCAGTGGGCACCTTTGTGCAATTTTCAAAAAGGTGCACCATTAAGGACACCCTATAAGCTGGCAGCTGATTTAAGGAAGAAAGACACGCCCTGTGGGGTGGCACATCACAAAATGCCACCTTTATTGTGCCCAGTACTGACTGATGATTGACAGAATGTGCCTCTTCTGGGGACACGTTACACAAAGGTGCCCCTTCCTCTCATGTCACCTGGGCTTCCTGGCCCCCGTTGTCACTTTTCTTCCTCATTGTTGGAAGACTGAACTTTCTTAAAGCACAAATCTGAGCATGTCAGTCCCCTACTTAAAATCCTTCAGTAGCTCTTTATAGCCTTCAGGGTAAAATTCAGACCCTGACTAATCTGTTCTAATCACATATACCCTGTCACTTTCTCTCATAGCCTGAGAACTACTTTCTGTCTTCTCAGTATTCCATGTTCTTTCTCTTGCTTTTGTTACTTGACACAGATAGTCTGTCTACCTGCAATGCCAGTCTCTCCCTGCATGCGACTTGGCTTATTCATTTTCAACAATGAGCATGCAGTACTTTTGTAATAAAACTGATTTTTTAATCCAAAATGTGTTTATTGGGATGGTTCGCCACTCCTCTTGATTCGAGGTGCTTTTGGTGCTGCTTCCTTCTGAAGGAACCTCCTCTGTAAGCCTTGCTTTTCCTCCTGTAGGCTGACAGAGGACAGCGGAGCAACCAACACAAGTTTGTGTAGGGCTAAAGACAGTGGCGATTTTACAGCATCCTGGGCATTTCACATCCGTGAAGCAGCCACTGGGGCTCTGCACCAGGTGCTTCTTGCGTTTCTTCTTCTCTTCTGGAAAAGGGTGAAGGAGATCCTTAACGAGAGGCATGTTGTTATGGGGAAGTTGTCATCGCTGGAAAGCATAAAACCGATTTTAAAAAGAAGTAGCTTAAAAGTTACCTTTGCCTGGTCAGTCATTCCTCAACCACTCTTTCCAAATCAGCCTGATTTTGAGACTCCTCTGTAGGCCCAGAGTACCCCAGGCTTCCCCCTATCACTCGGGATTCTATTTATGTCTTTATCTCTGTCTCCTCCATTAAACTGATGCTTCTGGGAAGCATCCTCCCCAAACACACATATAAGATTTTCTCTCTTTCCATCATGAAAATGCCCAAACATCCAGAAAAATAAAGAGAATAGTTGCCCTGGCCAATTTGGCTCAGCGGTTGGAGTGTTGGCCTGCGGTCTGGAGAGACCGAGGTTCGGTTCCCGCTAGGGGCACGTACCTCGGTTGCGGTTTGTCCCCGGCCCTGGTTGGGTCATGTGGGTGGCAACCACTCGATGTGCTCCTTTCACGTTGATGTCTCTCTCTCTCTCTCTCTCTCTCTCTCTCTCTCTCTCTCTCCCCCTCCCACTCTATCTGAACAAAATAGCAAAAAAAAATGTCCTTGGGTGAGGAGAAAAAAAAAAGAATAGTATAACATCATATACATATCACCTAGATTTTAACAGTTGTTAGTATTAAATGTGTTTTTATTTTTGTTTTGATAGTCAATGTAAATTACAGATATCACACTGCCACCCTAAGGATTTCTGTATACATCTCTTTTATGACATTTTCCTATTTAATCACAATACTATTATTTCATGTAATAAAATTAATAATAATACCCCATACCGCCAAATACTTAGTGTGACTAATTTCTGCGTCCTCAGTGCCTAGCCCACTTCCTGATAAGTAGCAATAAATGATTCCATTAATTTCTGTGTAACAACAAATGGAACAGCAATAGGATATTTACTCAAAAGTATTGAGGGTTTAGAGTTAAATTTTTAAAAAATTTTTCATGTGCTTTAATTTGCAGATGAAGACACAAAAAGGAAATCAAAGAAAGCCAAGAAAAAGGAAAAGAAGAAGAAACACAGATCGTCAGTTTTTTCTTTAATTTTTATTATGGAAAAGTTCAAATATATATACAATTACAAAAAACAGTAAAATGACCCCCCATGTAACCATCACCCAGCTTACACAGTTACCAACTCATGAGCAGTGGGAACCAATCCCAGACATCATTTTATCCATAAACCAGCATGTTTCTCTAAAAGATAGGCATTCTTTTTTTAAAAAAAAAATCATAACTACAGTACTTTTATCGCATCTAAAATGTTTAACGATAATTTCTCGATTCTTGGCAGTTTTTTGTACAGACTATTCAAATCAGTATCCAAGTAATGCCATAAATTGCCATTGATTTATATGTCTCTTACATCTCTAAATCCTCTTTTTTTGCCTGGCTGGTGTGACTCAGTTGATAGAGCTTCGTCCCATGGACTGAGAGAAGTCCTGGTTTGATTCCCGGTCAGGGCACATGCCCAGGTTGCAGGCTCGATCCCCAATGGGGGATGTGCAAGAAGCAGCCAATCGATGTCTCTTTCACATCGATGTTTCTATCTCTCTCTTCCTCTCTCTAAAAAAAAAAAATCAATAAAAATATTTTTTAAATAAATAAATCCTCTTCTCTTTTTGTTTTTGCAAATTGTTGAAGAAACCAAATTATTTGTGTTGTAGTTTCCTGCAGTATGGATTTTGCTGATTGTATTTTAATCGTGTCCTTTTAACATGCTCTGTCCTCTATTTATAAGAGAAACCTACCCTCATCAACTATTTGGTTATCCCAAAGTACAGTTTGTATAGGAAGGGCAGGATAATTGCTTACTTTTTTGTTTTATGAGTTTTCAAAATAATGAGCTGGGTTATTTTAGTATTATGAACCCAAATATTCATATATGTTTAATGTTTTTTGATCAATTACACTTAAAATTACATTGATGCTCAAATTGGTAAGAGCTGTTTTTTAAACTGCTTTATTTCTGTTATCTTTTTACAACATGAGAACTTTATTTCATTGTTCCCTTTAGGGATCTTTTTTATAGTGAAACATGATTTGGTTAAATAGGTTAGAAGATTTTAAAATTAAAAAGTTTAAATAAGCTGAGAATTCAAATCATTTTAATCAGTCTTTTTATTGCCTTGAAAAAGTAATATGCCCTTTAACATGGGAATATTAAGTCAACTTGTATCAAATTATAATAATTACAGGAAGAAATACAAGAAAAAAAAGTCTAAGAAGAGCAGAAAAGATTCTAGTGATTCAAGCTCTAAAGATTCCCAAGAAGAGTTTCTGGAGAATCCCTGGAAGGATCGATCAAGTAGGTTCTTCTGACAGACTTTGACTCAGAACAGGTAAAGCATTAAATTAACCAATTAGTCAAAATGTGAATTATTTTTCTAAACATCTTTTTTGCAGAGCCTGAAGAACCCTCAGATTTAATTGGCCCAGAAGCTCCAAAAACACTTGCCTCTCAAGATGATAAACCTCTGAAGTAAGTTAACAGTTCATTTGCAATATCTAAAGTACCTTCCCAAAAGTAGGGCCCTAACTTTCCCAAGCTTGTCACCCTCTGCTCCCTCATGTATACCCCAGGTTCCAACTGAGCTGAACTAAATTTCCCTGTGTTTACTGTGCACTTTCCCACATTGTGCCTTGTTTCCCTTATTTCTTCTCCCAACATGCTTTTCCTTCTTATCCCAGCCCTGTTTTCTTCACTACCTCCAATTTCTTCCTGTTAAAATCCTTACCATCTTTCAAATCTCTTTTCAAAAGGAGGGGCGTGTGCTGATTCCCAGTACCTTCCCTCCACAAGTAGGTGTGATTCCTACCCCTCTTTCATCCTTTAATCCTCATAGCATTTTCTATTTCTTTCGTGAAATGTATTATATATTCTACATTGAATTTCAGTAATGTCCTAAAAGATCAGAGATTATTTTTGTTTAATAGGTATTTAAGAAGCATTCAGTGAATTGAATGAAGGGATGATAGTTTTTAAAGTCCCCTTGAATGAAAGGTAATAGATCATTGCTACTGTATGTGCTATTATTGGTTATAAGGCTAAACAGTATGTTAAAATTGAGATATATTATTTCTTTACTTTTTTTAATGGAAAATGGGAAAAGAAATTCACTGAAAGAAGTAGTAAAGGCAATACCTATAGGGATAAATTGATCCATATTGTAAAACATGAATCTATACAAACACCAATTATTTTGTTCTTCCAAAGTATCTCTACACTTCTGGGTTAGTTACATAGGTTACAGTGCATTACTAATTAAATTAAACTAGTTCATATTGGGCTTCCTAGCATGCTGCCACTCAGCAACTGTTGTTCCTACTATTTGCTAAGGGTAAATGAATTGTTGTGCTCTCTTTAGATGAGGTTTTTATAATGAACCTTTTCTGAATTCTGAATTACTTTGTAGCTATGGCCATGCTCTGTTACCTGGTGAAGGTGCAGCTATGGCTGAATATGTAAAAGCTGGAAAGCGTATCCCACGGAGAGGTGAAATTGGTTTGACAAGTGAAGAAATTGCATCATTTGAATGCTCAGGTTACGTAATGAGTGGTAGCAGGTATGTTCTTGGCATTAAATCAGTTTCTGTGATTAGATCATTTTCTTCTTTCTCACTACCAGAATTATATTTGGTGATTGATTTTTATTAAGTGACCATTCCTAATCAAGAGTAAAGTATAAGTGTTCTTGTAATATTAGTTTTATTGGTATAAATGTAGTTGTCTAAAATTCTAAGTATGTATGCAACTGAGCCTCAAATTTAGCTATGTCAAAGAATCAGTCTTCCCACTGTCCTTTCTCATTTCGTATTTTGGTACAGATAGCTTATCTTCTGGAGGATATAGTTAAATTCAGCTATTTATCACCACCCCCTGAAGGAAAGCATTTTCATAAGACAATGTTTCCTGGTTTCTAAGTTTGCCTCTTGTTGTCTGTGGACTCTAAGAATGAAGAGCAGAAAAGGATTATGACAGACATCAGGTTTAGCATGGGAAAATGAATATAAAATTAGGGAAGAGAAAGCAAAGTACCAGGAAGAACAAAGAGAGTGAATAGGGCATCTGTACCAAAATCAAAGTGAAGTTTGGATTTTTAAAAATTTTACAAACTTTTAAAAGTAGGTAAATGTTTTAAAATAAAATTAGAGTCAAATATTTGCAGTACCCCTGAAGCACTTTCAGAATCTTGGAATTCTGAGGACCAACATATGAAAACATCATATCTGAGGTTCAGCACAATAAGATAAGAAAAATTACAGGCATAAGGACTAGAAAGGAGGATATAACACTGTTATTTTTTGTGAATTATATGGATTGTTTATATAGAAAATTCTAAAGAATGTAGAGATAAATTATAAATAATAGGAGGGTTTGACAAATGATTGGATATAAGGTTAATACACAAAAATCAATTGCACTTCTATGCACCAGCAACAAACAACTAAAAAATGTAATTAAATAAAAAGAAAACATTTATAACAATAACAGAGAATATGAAGGACTTAGGACTAAATCTTAATAAAAAAATGTCCAGGACCTCTACAGGGAAAACTATAAAAATATTAAGAGACATTTAAAAAGACAAAAATAAATGGAGAGATACCATGTTCATGGACAGAGAGGCAATATTATAAAGTTGTCAGTTCTTCTGAAATTGATCTGTAGATTTATTCCATTTCCAATCAAAATCACAACAGAGTTTTTCATGAAACTTACTAAGTTGGTTTTAAAATTGGTATATTAGACGAGAGGGCCCAGAATAGCCAGGTCACTTCTGAAGAAGAAGAGGAAGAGGATGAGATTTGCCCTACCAGATATGAGGACTTACTACGAAGCTTGCAGCACTTTAGAAAGTGTTGGGGAACAAATGAATTATTCAGTGGAATAAAATACAGAGCCTAAGGACAGAGCCTTATATGTATGGAACTTAGGTATATGAAAGAGATGGCTTATAGGATCACTGGGGAAAGAGGGATCTATTCAGTAAATGGTTCAGGAAAAAGTGGTTATCTGTATGGAAAAAGATGAAAGTAGAACCCTGTATTACCATATTTAAAAATCAGTACAGCTAGATTAAGGACTTAAATGTCAAAAACAACTTTAACACTCAGTATAAAATATGAGCAGATATCTATTAGATCTTGGGGTGGAGAAAGCATTTTATAAAGGACAAAAAAATGTAATAACCATAAAATAAAATATTGATAAATTTGCCTAGACTAAAAGTAAGAACTTTTTCCCAGTGGTGTGGCTCAGTGGTTGAGCATCAACCTGTGCACCAAGAGGTCACTGGTTTGATTCCCGGTCAGGGCACATGCTCAGGTTGTGGGCTTGATCCTCAGTAGAGGGCATGCAGGAGGCAGCCAATCAATATTGATGCTTCACTCACATAGATATTTGTATCTCTCTCTCCCTTCCTCTCTCTCTAAAAAATCAATAAAAACATTTTTTTTAAAGTAAGAACTTGCCTGGCTGGTTTGGCTCAGTGCTTAGAGCGTCGGCCCACAGACTGGAGAGTCCTCGGTTCCTGCAAAGGGCATGTACCTCGGTTGCAGTTTGTCCCCGGCCCAGTTGGGGTCTTGTGGGTGGCAACCACTTCATGTGTCTCTCTCATGTTGATGTTTCTCTTTCTCCTCCACTCTATCTGAGAATAAATGCAAAAATGTCCTCGGGTGAGGATAAAACAAAACAACAACAACAACAAAAAAGTAAGAACTTGCCTGGCTGGTTTGGCTCAGTGGTTAGAGCATCGGCCCACGGACTAGAAAGTCCTGGGTTCGGTTTCCGCTGTGGGCATGTACCTCAGTTGCAGTTTGTCCCTGGCCCCAGTTGGGGTCATGTGGGTAGCGACCAGTCGATGTATTTCTCTCACATTGATGTTTCTCTCTTTTCCCCCCCTCTCTCCCTCCTGCTCTATCTGAAGATAAATGCAAAAAATTGTCCTCAAGTGAGGATTAAAAAAAAAAGTAAGAACTTTTGTTCATCAAAAGACATCTTTTTTTTTTTTTAATCCTCACCTGAGGACATTTTTCCATTTTTTTGTTCAGATAGAGTTGGGGGGGGAGAGCGAGAGAGAGAAACATCGATGTGAAAGGAACACATCGAGTGGCTGCCACCCGCACGACCAACCAGGGCCGGAGACAAACTGCAACTGAGGTACATGCCCTTAGCAAGAACCGAACCCAGGTCTCTCTGGTCCACAGGCCGACGCTTCAACCGCTGAGCCAAACCGGCCAAAAGACATCTTAAAATAAGTAAAAAGACAAGTTCCAAGCCAGGATAAAATTTTGCAATACACACAACCATTAAAGAATTAGCATTGAGAATATTTAAAGAATACCTATGAACAACCCAAAAGAAAAGTAGGAAAATGACACAAAGAAGAAATATGTATAACCTATACATGTATAAAAAGGTGTTCATTATCATTGGAAATAGAAATTAAGAACATACTGACATGTCATTTTGCATGCATTTGATAGACAAAAGTTCACAGTTATAACAATACCAAGCATTTGGATGTGATATACAGGATCTCTTAAATATTACTATTGGTAGTGTAAATTGATACAACCACTTTGGGTATTATCTAGGAAAGTTGAGAATTCATATAGTTCTGTAACCCAGCAACTCCATACCTAAATACCCAAGAGAAAACTCTTTCCCGTGTCCTAGGAGACATTTACATAGAGGTTTGTTATAGCATCTATCACATAGCGCTTCCTGTTCCAGATAAACTACTCACTGTACCCTGAGGAACCTAAATACATTGTCATCTTCACTGTCCATCCTGCCACTCCCCTACTTTCACACTAATCTGAAATTATTCTCCCCTCCTCTCAGTTTTCTCTATTTTTCTTTTTTTAAATATGTTTTTATTGATTTTTTAGAGAGAGATAAACATCAGTGTGAGAGAGAAACATCGATCAGCTGCCTCCTGCATGCCCCACATCAGGGATCGAGCCCGACACCTGGACCTGTGCCCTGACCAGGAATCAAACCGGGACCTCTCAGTCCATAGGATGATGCTCAGTCCACTGAATCTGAACAGCCGGACAATTTTCTCTATTTTTCTAGTCAGCTCAAGCTTCATCTTGAACTAATTGTATAGGATTGAGTACATATACATAAAAGAGGCAGGTTTTTTTAAGGTTTTTCTTCTAAATAAGCACCTTTTGAAGATGATGTAATAGTTCCCCTCTACCCCTATTCCTATACTTTTCCTGATTTGGATCTTGTGCTAAATCCCTTCTTTATTTTCTTTGAGCTGCTACTAGATTCTAAGGAGTTAAATTTAATTGTAGATTTAGACTAGGTTCTTTTGGTTATTTGATAAATTTGAACCTTGAAGAAGTTCCACCTAATTGATGACAGCTTAAATCTTTCATCTATTCTATGTTAATTCCATGAAAGCAAATTCCACATATCACCTAGGAAGTTTAATAATTTGCCTGTTTCTGGTTGTTTTACTGGAAACAGAAGAACTAGACTTATGCCCTTAATATTTGAAATTAATAACATTCATGATGTTAACAGGACATCAGAGATCATTATTTGAATTCTAGAAATAAATCAAAGGACATACTTGCAAATACAATGAATGGTCTTTTGAAAATATAACCCATTACAAAAACAGTTTCTATTTGTCACATTTTTAAGTAAACCACTCTATTAAGAAAGGATTAGTGAGGAAGTACTATGAGAATAATTACTGAGGAATTAAACCAAAAATAAAATTATCTGCAGGCATCGTCGAATGGAGGCTGTGCGACTCCGAAAAGAGAACCAGATCTATAGTGCGGACGAGAAGAGAGCTCTGGCTTCCTTTAATCAAGAAGAGAGAAGAAAGAGAGAAAACAAGATTCTGGCCAGTTTTCGAGAGATGGTATACAGAAAAACTAAAGGGAAGGATGACAAATAAGGATTTTCGGATTATTCAGCAGACATTTTTAACAGAAAGTCTGGGTTTCATATATACATACGAACAGATTGTTAGGATCTGAAAAGCTTTACAGTGCTCCTGTGCCTTCTATTTAATTATTTCAGTCCTTCAATAAAAGGCTGCTTATTGATATAACTTTAGCAAGTTCTTTGGGTTATTTTGGATTGACCATAAAACTTTCTAGTTGAAAAATCGATATCATGCCCTGGCTGGTTTGGCTCAGTGGTTAGAGCGTCGGCCTGCGGTCCAGAGAGACCCGGGTTCGGTTCCCGCTAAGGGCGTGTACCTCAGTTGCAGATTGTCCCCGGCCCTGGTTGGGTCGTGTGGGTGGCAACCACTCGATGTGTCCCTTTCATGTCGATGTTTCTCTCTCTCTCCCTTCCACTCTATGTGAACAAAAATGTCCTCAGGTGAGGATAAAAAAAAAAAGAAAAATTCATATTATGAATGAAATCGTACTATATTGGGGGAGATGACATTGAGAGAAAATGGCAGTGAGATGAGAAACTTAACTCTCATACCATGGGACAGTGTTACTCTTAGCTCTTCATGATGCTTGCCCCCAACCCAACTGAACTTGTGGGAAATTATCATTCCTCTATGTTGAATGTGTTATAAATGGACTTGATAGAAACATACAGGAGGCCAGTTTTGTTAAAATGAAGGCATTGCTGAAAAAGGCAAATCTGGAATTTGAAGATTGACTTTTATTATATGATATATAGTCTGCCTTGGAAATCATGTATTTTGGTTTTAATCCCTACCCTCAGCCCAAACCCAAAAATAAACCAAAACGCAAACTAACCCATGGACTTGTTGAATTGAATATGTGAACATTAGTTTTAAAAATTCTTAACAGGTTACTTAAAAATGTTTTTTTCAAATATAAAATATTTGGAAGTCTACTGTTGTGCCAATGTAAGTACATTATTTCTGTCTAAGCTGTATGTGGATCATAATTTGAATACTAGAAATGAATGGGAGTCAACAGTGGTCAGGAGTGTAATAGGGAAAAATATAATGAATAGTTATTTTAACTTAGTTGTTTTATAAGGATGAATATAAAATTATATTAAACATTTTTGTATGTCCTTTATGTAATAGACAGATTTCATTTTAAATGTAAACTTTTCAGTTTATTTTTTACATCTATCATGCAGTTTATTCTTTAACTTTGTATAGAATCCCCTTAATTCATCCCTTTTTTATGGCTATTATTTTTAAGTTTGGGAGAAATGGAAAATTCTGGTACTATGAGATTACAATCTTTTTCCTTCCCTATTTGTTCAATTTTTGTTGTTATGTCAGAAGAGTGAAGGGGGAGGGGACAGTAGAAATTCAGGTTGTTTTTGTTAAGGTTGTTTTGAGCTTCGTTATTATTATGTGCCTAGGATAAATTTAGATTACCTGGGTCATAAGGAAATTCTGACTCTGCTGTTATAAAATGTCCTCTCCTCTCCCCTTAGAATAGTTTAAAGTATCTTTTTCAGAGTTTTCAAATGAGGCAGTCAGATTTCAAAGCATAAATCCAAAGTTTTACTAGTTAGCAAATGTTCTAGGAAAATGTCTACCTTTAACCCACAACTAATGAACTGAACAGCCACTTGGCATGTAGCAACATTTATGACTCCTGAATTTGATGTTATTTCTATTTATCATCATTGCTGCCTAGCCTAAGAAATCTATTTTTTTCCAAAAGTTGAAACAAACTAGGTCCCAAATTTGTGAGCTCTAATCCATCTACTTCCCTATGTAATAAAACCTAAATTTATAATCCGCATTTAAAATTTTTGTTCTCTGGCTCCTGGAGACTGGATGAGTTTATTCTCTTATTTTCTTTTTTTCCTCATTAGAATGTGTTTTTTATTAGAAAAACAGAAAGTAAAAAGTATTTTCTCACTTAGGAATAACCTTTACTGCCTAATATCTTACATTTCTTCTTGTCATCTTACATGTCATTTTTAGGGTAGTGGAAATTGTATAGCATTTTTTTTGTTGGTTTTTTTTTAATAGTAGCTGAAACTATTTCAAGTACCCTGGAATAGTATTCTTTCCTTGTCTCCCTCCCTGCACATCCCTTTTTGATTACTCATAATTAGGTAAGTGCAGGTGAAAGAAGCACCCGAGTTACCCCCATTATTACCAAGGGCAGTTCCTTAGTTGTGTTGATTGAACTGGGCCACAGCCTCCTTGCAGGATGGGAATCCGGGTACCACATTAGTTGCCTTTTACAGACAAGGAAACCTAATATTCAGCAACTTTTTGTGGCTTTCCCATCTTTACACGGTTGTAAGAGGCAAGGCCAGCACTGAGACCAAGCCTTCCAGGCCCTCTTTCTGTGCCCCTGTTGTAAGCACCAGGCCCATGGGATTTGACAACAATCTCCTCGGGTCTGACTTTCAAGAGGGATGTTCTCTTATTTTCAGTAGGCAAGATAATTCAAATGCAACAATTTTGTGATATATGAATACTGTAGATTTTCATTGTATTCTCCAGTTTCCTCCACAGAGTAGATACTCAACAAAGGCTTGTTGAGTAAATGGAAGAAAATATATTAATTTTTTTCAGAACTTTAACATTTCTTTCATCAGAGTTTGTTCAGAAAAGATGTGCCAAGAACAGCTTCAGCGGCATATTTTTTGGGAAAGGAGAGGGAAGAATAAAAGGACCAAACACATTTTATTTTTAGCTCATGAGAGTTACTACTTCAAACTATATGTAGTCACCTGAGCCATAAGTCTAATAAGAGGGCTGTTGTATTTGAAATACTATATTTTTTGTTCTCAAAGGAGACTTACCTAGTTTCTCACATCCTCTCCTGTTGCTCTAAGATTTTCCCTCTTTTTTTATTTATTTCACAAATGTAACAATTTTTTTTTTTAAAAAAAGAAAGAAAAATTACCCAGTCTTACCACATCAATTGTCTTTAGGGTTCTGTGTTCACTTCCAGTGCTTGTCTATGTAAATATGTATTCAGATGTACATACAAGTAATCACTCCTAACATAATTTGTCTTTGGTGTTTTAAAATTTTGCAGCCAGTGTGAGGATGGGAAGAATACAAGAAATAAGTAAGGGTAGAAACTGAGCCTTCCATGTTTCATTGCCCCCAGTCCTGAAGCCACCCTGCTGCCATTAAGATTGGGATGCTCTGTTGTGGCAGGCAGCATGCCTGGTTTCAGAGTTTCAGAATGTGTTTAACAATGAGGCTTAACTCACAGTAAATCAAGGGGTCTGTGAGTAGAGAAACCCTTCAGACTGTTTATGGTATGAACTGTAGAACAGTTGCCATTTTTCTGTTCCCGAGTTGTGCCCATAAAAAGGTGTGTCTGGGCCAGACACTTAGCTCAAATAGAGGACTAGGCAGTCAAGTACCAATCTCAGTTGGTCTGACAGGTGAATTTTAGCAACTCTCTGAACTCAGCTTCTATACCTGTAAGACTGATGCAGACAGTGATGGGAAAAACCTTTTAGAAAATAGAAAACTAGTTACTCTGTTAGCATAATGGAAAGTTGCCAAATGGAAAATGACTGAATGCAAAAAAAAAAAAATTCAGCTGGATTGTGTGCCACAAGTTTATTATTCAATAAATATTATATGGTTTGATGTGCAGTATGGTATTTTAATACATTCTCATTAGAAATCCAATCATAAAACATTTTGTAAGAAACAGACACAATTGGATTAGAAGGGAAATGACTTCATTATAATATGTTTGGCCTCAACCATGTCCCTCACCCATTTTTCTCGAAAGCGAGTCATTCCTGGTCTGCAGAGGAAGAAAAACAAATACACCAAAAGCCTTTTAAAATAAAACATTCAGCTTAAGATTGATTTCCTGTTTACTCTGTTTCATCTCTGGTGAGCAAAAAGCCTTTTGTGGGGGAGGGCTGCAAAGACTGTCTCTATCTATTCCTTAGGCCCAATCAATAAAAGAATTAATGAGCTTATATGTAAAGATTCTTTAAGAGAGCTGCTATACAAATAAAAGGGGTTATACATGAGTTTATTCCATGTAATTGTGAATTTTCCCATAGAAACAATAAACATGACCCATTTTGCCACCACGCTACTCTAGCAGTTAATCCTCAAGTATCTAATCACTGAAAAAAAAAGACACTAAAAAGCAAACCAAAAAGAAAAAAAATTCTAGAACAATGGCAGTATCCTATTTTCAGTCCATTGTAATGGGGTAGGTGGTCCAAACGAGAAAGGTGACTATTATGTGAATTATCTGTGTCTATGGGCCTGCTAGAGATGACCTTTATCTACCACCCATTTAAAATAAGTCTCCAAATGTTCATTACCTGTGAAGTAGTGACTGGCCCTCAAAGAAATAAGAGACTTCAACGGGTGCATCCTAAGAGAGAAAAGGACAGTTGTCAGCTTAGACCAGTCATACAGACTCATGATTTCTTCCATCTCTATACTTGTCCATATATACTGTTAAATTTATAGAATTCATCTTCCTTTTCAATTGGAAGTAGGTGATAGTTCTCTGTCATGTCAAACCTCTGTTCTCCAAAAGATATTTTTTGGCAACAAATACCTTAAGCATGGCCACAACATTGGAAACAAGTCAGGAGAGGCTTATGCTCAATAAGAGCTTGAGTAAATCATTGACCTTCTTTACATGTTCCAGTTTACTCAGCTGACAGTACCTACTTTACCTCTTAGGAATGGCATAAGAAAACAATATAGATGAACAAAGTTTGAAAACATTTTTAAAGCAGCATAAAAACATAGGTTGTAAATTGCCTCAGTGGTCCCCACCCATTCTCTGCTACAAAATTATACTCAGAATTCTGAGCAAGGGCCCTTCTCCCAAGCCCTCTCTCTGTGGTCACTGGTTTGCGGTCTTGCTTACCTCCATCCACCAGCCTTGCTTTCTGATCTCTAAACTTGCCATTTATCAAGACAGCTAATGGTAGGATATATGACCAGGAGCTCTAAATAGATAAGTTTGTACTAGGATAGGATGGATATAGGACATAATTAGCTCACTGTGTAGTCACATATAAAGCCTTAGAGTCAGACAAAACTTCAAATAACCTTTGTGAAAGGATGAAAAGCAAAGAATATAACAATTTTATGTCTCCTGTGTTCCAGGCATTATCCTTGGTATCAACCCTGCTCTGAGAACCCTATGCCTGGATTCTACATATTTGATATTCATGGTCTACCTAATGGCTAAAAGCAGTCATTCTTTCAAGTATTTATCGAGTGCCTACTATTTGCTAGGCCTTGTTTTACAGCAAGATAAAAATCTCTGCCTTCATGGAACTTAAGTTCTGCTAGGGGAAGCAGATAATAGCAAGATAAATTATATAGAATATCATAAGGTAAAGTGTTGTGTAGAAAAAGCAAAAGCATTGGCAGGTGGGGAGTGGGGTAGAAAGTGCAGTGTAGGAGGTGAGAGAGCAAACCATGCACATACGTAGGGGAGAGTGTTCCAGAGGGAACAGCAAGTGCAAAGGCCCTGAGGCAGAACTATGTAAGAGTAGCAAGATCCAAGTCGCTGGAGAAAAAAAGTGAGGGAGAAGGAATAGTGAGAAAGCAGAAATAACAGGGACCAGATCACTCAAGGCTTTGTAGGCCCTTACTACTCAAAGTATAGTAAGGGCCTGCAGCATCAGCCTTGCCTGAGAGCTTCTTAGGAAGGCAGAATCTCAAGCCCCACCTCAGACCTGCGGAATCAGAATTTTCCTTTTAACAAGATTCCCAAATAATTTGCATGCACTTTGAAGTTTGAGAAACACGTTGCAATGTGTTTTAAAAGGGTGACATAAATTCATTGTATAAGGGCCACTCTGGCTGGCTGCTATATTGAAAAGAGACGTGATGAGGGCAAAGGTGGAAGCAGAGGGACCAGTTAGAAGGCTACTGAAATCATCTTGATGAGAGATGATGATGTCTTGGATCAGGGTGATAGAAGGGTGGTAAGAAATTGTTGGATTCAGGACCTATTTTTAAAAGTAGGGCCAACAGAATTTCCTAATGGATTGGATGAGGGATGTGAGATAGTCAAGGATGATGCCAAGGAATTTGGCCATCAACAGATGAGGAAAACTGCAGATAAGGTTTGGAAGGGAAAATTGGAAGTTCCATTCTGGTTACAATATGTGAGATGTTTCTCAAACATCCAAGTGGCAGAAGTCAGCTGGAGATATAAATTTGGGAATCACTAGAGGTGGCCCATTTAAAACCAGGAGACTGGCCCGGCCGGTGTGGCTTACTGGGTGAGCGTCAACCCATGCACCAAGAGGTCACAAGTTCAATTTCCAGTCAGGGCACATCCCAGGTTGTGGGCCTGACCCCAGTGTGGGCATGCAGAAGGCGGCCATTCAATGTTCTCTCTCATCGATGTTTCTCTCTCTCTCTCCCTCTCCCTTCTCTCTTTTTCTAAAATCAATAAAGAAAAAAATTTTAAACCAGGAGACTGCATATGATCATCAAGGCAGTGCATACAGAGAAGAAGTCCAAGGCCTAGGTTTTAGAACATTCCAATATGAGGAGGTTGGTGGGAGGAGAAACTGGTAGAGAGTGAGAAGGAATGGTCAGTGAGGCAGGAGGAAAACCAGGAGAGTGTGTTAGTCTAGAAGCCAAATGGAATGTTTCATGAAGGAGGGAGTGATCAGCTATGGCAAGTACTGCAGATGGGCCAAGCAGGATGAAGACAGAAATATGACTATTATGTTTTACAAAGAAGGGGTCATCAATGACCTTGACAAGAGAAGTCTCCATTTTCATTTAATTCTCATCAAAGAGAACAGCATAAAAGGAAGAGCTTACCGGAGGTTTGTTTTTGTTGAACTTGATGGTGAAGAAGGCAAAGGCAGAGCTGAATGCTGTGGGTGTCTGAGAAGTTGGGACACTCCAGCGTACAGAGTAGATGTAGTGGAAGCTGTGAACCAGGTCTCTCGTCTCTATCAACTTTGTGTAGTGCACCCAGCGGTCTTGATACTCCCAAGTCTGTTTCATAGAAAAAAGAAAGAGCACGCAAAGAAAGACAAGTAGACTTCTGTTTGAGGCTTCTAGATAAAGACAGTGCACAACAGTAGGGGTTACAGCCCTGCTTCTGGAATCCATTTCTAACACTTTTTATTGGGATTCAAACTAGAGTCAACTCCCCATAATCTTCAAAGATCACTTGAGATTGGGCTTTGGACTGTAGATTCACACGCTCAGATGTGGGTGTGTACATACTCATTACACACATGTACACACTCACTTCCTTCCAGACCCTTACTTGGGAGGCAAATTTGGTTAATTGGAAAATAATTAGGACGTGACTAGAACATGTGGTCTGCTCACTTTACTCAGGGAGATGCGAAGGTGTGACTAGAAAGTAACGAGGCTTTCTCAAACTGTTTTTGAAAATCAGATTCACTTCATTGCAGCCATAGGTAGTATGTAAAATAAGGTCAGAAAAGGAATGAGTCAGGCAATAGGATCTTTCAGATCCCTCAGATCCCTGTCTACACCCTTGGAGAAGCTTCCCCTCCAAAGTACAAATCTTTTTCTTTTTTTTTTTATCCTCACCCGAGGACATTTTTTCATTTTTTGTTCAGATAGAGTGGGAAAGGGGGGGGGGAGAGAAACATCAACGTGAAAGGGACACATCGAGTGGCTGCCACCCGCACGACCCAACCAGGGCCGGGGACAAACTGCAACCGAGTCACATGCCCTTAGCGGGAACTGAACCCATGTCTCTCTGAACCACAGGTCGACGCTCCAACCTCTGAGCCACACCAGCCCAGGCCAAAGTACAAATCTTACCAGCACCTTGGGTTCACAGAAATCATAATGCAGCCCTGATTTCTTAGCACAGGGCCTTGAATGCTATAGGCATTTAACAAGTTCAAGTCAACCAAACCCCCTTGAGCTGGCTATCGGGGCATAGGAAGCTTCCAAATCAAAAAGATCCTAAATTAAGATGAAGGTCACAAAAGGAAGAAAGTGGGATTGTCTAAATCCCAGTGATGTGCGGAGGGAATGTGGGAGGAAGTAGTAAAATAATTTCAGGCTCTCCTATTTTTTTTTAAAGCAGTAGGCTAGCCTTTTGTCTCAGCTTACTTTATTTTAAGCTTCTACCCAATTGGCTGTTTCAGTCAGCCAGAGAGGAGCACAAAGACTCCAGATTCCTTGAGATTAGGGACTGTGTCTTCCTACAGAGATCATTCCTTTTAATGAAGTTTGAGAGTCAACCCCTTGAAGCTCATAGAAGAATACCCTTTTTTTTTCAACCGTTCTATAGTATTTGATATATTTTGTTGAGCCCTAATGTTTAATCTGTCATATAATCATGGACTTTGTAGCATTGGAATGATCCCTAGAGATCATCTAGTGAAGACCCTTACTTTGTAGATGAGGATACTGGGGCCTAGAAATAGGGAAGGACGGTCCAAAACAACAGCTGGGGTGGGGACCTAGGACTCCCTAGCAGCCAGCTCAGTTCTCTGTCTACACCACCAGATGCCTCAGTTCTAGGATTTTCTTCCTGTCAACTTGCTGTGTTAGTGGGGGTTTTTATCCCTTTGTGAACAAGGGCAGCCTTGGGCACATTAAATACAACTATTTTCATCAAGCCAATGTCTTCCCATTTTTATCACTGTGCAGTCAGCTGATTTTTATGTAGTTCCAATGAATGTATGTTATCCTTGTGTTTTGTAATTTTTGCATAACCTTGATTCATATACTCACTTCCTGGAAACAGTATCTCATTGTGCTACTTTAACATGGATAGTTTAACCCATAATATATCATTGGACACTCAAAACCAACAAGCACTGGAAGTATATGCACAAAACTGTTATCAATGGTAAATGACCTTTGAGCGAGTAGAACTGGGTATTGTGTGGGTAAAAGAGTAACTTTCATTTTCTACTTTTTGCTTTTTTGCTCACTGGGGATTTTTATAACAATGCTTTATTTATATTATAAAAATTTTAACTGTGTGTTAGGCTTTGGAGATTTTTCACTTTTTCCCTTATAAAGAACTTATGTGTCTGTTCTTGTTGTCAGGTTACATTCCTGAAGAGAATAAACCAAGTATTGTGGCCATTGTCAATGTATAAGTGTATGTATTTCCTCCCTACTAATACGCAAGCTTTCTGACACCAGGTTTAATCATACTTACTCACATTGCAATACCTTAAAATCTTTTGAATTTACATTTTTCATTAATAGTAAAACTCTGCATGTTTTTTTGTCATCAAAAAGTCTTTTTCCTGCCCTGGCTGGTATGGCTCGGTTGGAGCATCGTCCTATGCACTGAAAGGTCACCGGTTCAATTCCTAGTCAGGGCACATACCCAAGTTGTGGGTTCAATCTGCAGTCAGGGATTTTTTAAAAAAATTTTTAAAGTCCTTTTTCTACTATGGCGAAAAAAGTATATCAGACAGACCTATAATCAAAACTTCATTTTGCTGCTTAAACAAAGACTTTGGACATATTGCCCAACTTCTCTGAGCCTCAATTCTTCATCTGTAAAATGGGTACTCTGATGTACTTGCATTCAGGTTTTTTTGTGAGGATTAGATGAGATAATGCACATAAAGTCCTTAACAGTGCTTAGCACATAGCAATGCTCAGTAAGTGGTCACTCCTTATTTGCCATTGCTTGGTGTATGGTGGACTTTGGGAAATCTGTACTAAGCTTGAGAAAGCTCTCCATCAGAAACTCCTGGCACTTAGATGGTAGACTTCACTTCTAGGGCTCACTGCATTAGTGGGGCTGGGAACAGGGTGATTTAATGTCATGAGTTATATAGAGCTTTTAGATTTTTCAGTCACCTACTTTTTAATTGTCTCTCTGTATACAATAGTCCTACAAAGTAGGTAAGCTCTTCATCTGTGAAGAAAAAATATAGAGAGAATAAACCTGTTCATGTATTTACCACATATGTATAGAGCACCTATGTGTAGCTAACATTTCTAGGGGCTGGGAACAGAGAAATGAACAAGTCTTTGTCCTTGTGGACCATATGATCTGGTGGTGGAATAAAAGTAATAGGATTGATAAGTAAAATCTAATATATTAAGTAGGGCTAAGTACTAAAGAAAAAAATAAATCAGAAGAGAGAGGGTTGTAATTATAGATGAGGTGGCTAGGAAAGGCCTCAGTGAGCAAGTGGCATTTTAACAAAGACCTGAAGAGAGGTAAGGCATGAACCATGAGAATAGATCTCAGGGGAGAGTGTTCCAAGCAGAGGGAACAGCAAGTGCAACGGCCCTGAGGTGAGGACATGCCTGGCAAGGAAGCAAGTGTGTCTGGAGTAAGGAAGGTGAAAAGGGAGGAGGTAGTAAGTGATGGAGTCTGAGCAGTAAGCTGGGAGGGAGGAGGAGACTCAGATCACATTGGGCCATATAGGCCATTGTCAGGACTTACTTTTGCCTTTTATGCAGAATAACCAGTTAGATTTGCAGGGGACATTTTTCTTGCTTATTTTGTGTCCCATTCCAGTCTGATTCACAAAACTTGGGTGCAGCCTTAGGCCAGTGGGCACCCATTTAGAGCACAAGATGGGAAAATTGCTTAACTGGGAAAGATATTTTCCTAGGAAAATGTAAGATTAGGATGATACAAGCACAGGGAAATACAGTTGTGCTTTTCACCTTCAAAGACTATCACATCTTTAATTTTAGAATCCAGATGAGGACATCTAGTCACCTTTAATATCATCTCCTAGGGATTCTGGACTTTAAACTTTTCATCAAAAAAGAGCCTTTTTATTGTTCTTTGCCTCTGTACACCAAGTTGGAGTGGTCAACTAACTTACCAAAACGAACTCCTCAATTTGCCTACGGCCCTTTTCTGGTGTGAATTCACCGTGTGTGAGCCAGTCGACGTTTTTGATGATGTATTCATCATCTTCTGCAAAAAAGATGTGAATTTGTTAATTGCCTGGTAGTGTGACATTATATAACAAGACAGTCCTTTAAGCACCCAGACAGGATTAATACCTTCCACAATTTTAACAGCAGCGGCGATGGCCCTCTTAGCTAAATGTAGTGCTAGTTCAATCACATTGCTGTCTTCTGTATCCATTGCTGGTTCAGTCACTTTGTTGTCTTCTGCATCCATTGCTGGTTCAGTCACATTACTGTGTGTATCCACTGCTGGTTCAGTCACATTACTGTGTGTATCCACTGCTGGTTCAGTCACATTGCTCTCTGTATCCACTGCTGGTTCAGTCACATTGCTGTCTGTATCCACTGCTGGTTCAGTCACATTGCTCTCTGTATCCACTGCTGGTTCAGTCACATTGCTGTCTGTATCCACTGCTGGTTCAGTCACATTGCTGTCTGTATCCACTGCTAGTTCAGTCACATTGCTGTCTGTATCCACTGCTGGTTCAGTCACATTGCTGTCTGTATCCACTGCTAGTTCAGTCACATTGCTGTCTGTATCCATTGCTGGTTCAGTCACATTGCTGTTTGTATCCATTGCTGGTTCAGTCACATTGCTGTCTGTATCCACTGCTGGTTCAGTCACATTGCTGTCTGTATCCACTGCTGGTTCAGTCACATTGCTGTCTGTATCCATTGTTGGTTCAGTCACAATGCTGTCTTCTTTATATACTGCTGGTTCAGTTACTTTGCTGTCTTCCTTATCCATTGCTGGTTTAGTCACATTGCTCTTTTCTTTATCAATCAACCGGATTGAAGGATGTTTATACACATCTACTATATTCTTAAATCTGACAGCTTTACCCTTCTTCATTTTCTTTTGGCTAGAAAAAGAAACTCAAGAAGTTACCTTGTGTGTGTACGTGTGTGTTTGTCCATGGGTGCATGCACATGTGCATACACACTTGTATGAGTACAGACTCTTCTTTTTAAGATTTTTTTTTCTTTATTGATTTTAAAGAGAGAAGAAAGGAGAAGGAGAGAGAAAGAAACATCGATGAGAGAGAACATCGACTGGCCACCTCCCACATGCCCCTCCCCTCACTGGGGATTTGGCTCACAACCTGGGACGGGGGATCAAACCAGCAATCTCTTGGTGCATGGGTCAATGCTCAGCCACTGAGCCACACTGGCCAGGCCAGACTATCTCTTGAAGAATCACAAGAGACAGGAAATGGTTGTTTCCTCTCCAGAGGGGATTAGGGGTTGGGGTAGGAGTGAGGCCTCACTGTTTATCCTTTGTGCCTGGCCACTGAGATATACTTTTCCTGAAAACCAAGGATTTTTCAGATTCACATAACCATGAAGACTTAAGACGTAGTAGAATTATTCCTAACTTCTTTGGAGTTCTAACAATATTGATTTCTAGTTGAGTCTTTAATAGAACCTCAAATCCTGCTTTAGGCTATGGAGAGCCCATGACTCTTTAAAGATAAAGTGAATTAAATGATTAGAAGAAAAACAGTATAGGAGGTGTTGGTTTTTCAGGGTTTTCTCTTGGATTTTCCAGGTATACAATTATATCATCTGCCAGAAACTATGATATTTTACCATCTTTTTTCCTGAAATATATAAATATTAGCTTTGATTAATACTTCTGGGAAAATGTTAAGTGAAAGTGGAGATAAAAAGCATCCTTCCTTTGTGTCTGACTTTAATTGGCATGCTTTCTGGCATTACATCATTAAGTATGATGCTGGTTTATGGCTTGAGATTTATCACATCAAGAAAATATATGTCTGCCCTGGCCGGTTTGGCTCAGCGGTTGGAGCGTCGGCCTGTGGTCCTGAGAGACCCGGGTTCGGTTCCCGCTAGGGGCACGTACCTCGGTTGCAGTTTGTCTCCGGCCCTGGTTGGTCGCGCGGGTGGCGGCCACTCAGTGTGTCCCTTTCACATCGATGTTTCTCTCTCTCTTCCTCTCTCTCCCTCCTGCTCTATCTGATCAAAAGATGGAAAAATGTCCTCGGGTGAGGATAAAAAAAAAAAAAAAGAAGAAAATATATGTCTGCTCCTGTTTTAGTAAGATGTTCATCATAAATGATAGCTAACACTTTCCAAATGTGTCTTACATCTATTGAGATTGTGAAAAATTAGAGTTATCAGGACTGTGAAGGGTTCATCACAGAGATAGGAGTCTTTACATTTTCCATCTTTTTTTCATCTTTTCTCTTGAGTCATGAACTCTCTTTCCCTGCTATACTTAACTCTCTTCACTTTGGAGAAATCTCTTACTTCTAGCATAGTTATACATTTCTTACAGGCAATCCTTGCATTGGGAGTGCTGCAGGAAAGTCAGTATCTCCAAAGTGAGTCATTTATTTTTCTATAAATAGCAACTCCCAATTTGGTGTGTTTAATGTGCCTCAACTCTCACCACAGCCCTGTGCGATCATGCACTGTCTACCCTTCACTGGCCTTTCCAGATCCACTCTCCCCCATCTCCCCTGCTCTCTTCCCTGGAAGACTGACCTGGCTGGACTAAATCTATGGGCTCTCCCATGCCCTCTATCTTCCAGGAGGTTCCACACAATGGGGAGGCCAGACTGAGCAGAGGAGAGTGAGGTTGAGGAATATATTCCCCAGGGGGCTGTCCCCTTACAAAATCACCTGTGGCTGGCTGTATGGAGAAGGCAGGTGTCCGCTTCTCCCAGGGCACTTCTCTCACAACTTCCCAGTTCGTTAAGGGTACCATTCTCTCCTCTCAGCCCTATGGCCCCACTGTTACTAGCCCCGGGGACCTGTGCTTGCCCTTGTTTCCCCACTGTCAGCCCACATCTTTGTAAAGATTTCCTTAACCTATCCCTACCTATCCTGCTTGTAGTATGCCAATTTTTGTTACCATGTGAAACGAGGAAGCCAAGCTCACACCCAGACCACCTGGCTCCACAGCCCATGCTCTTAACTATACTGCTCTCCTTTCTCCAAGATTCACAAAGAGTCACGGGGACCTGTTCTCACATTTCCATCTGGGGTCCAGAATGTTCTCATTCTCTTTGTATGAGCCTCTTTCTAAAAAGTTCACCCTTTGTTCCCTTTCTTGACATCATCATTGGTCACAGGGTATGGTGGGTACTGCATAAGGCAACCTGCTTCCTGTAGCCATCAGTCCAGGAAAGGTTTGAGCAGCCTTTAAACATTCTGGTAATAACGCTGACTTGTGTTCATTGAGTCTTCATATGAGCTTTTTTATTATTAATAGAATTGATTTTAGAGAGAGATGAAGAGAGGGAGAGTTAGAAACATCGATGAGAGAAAAACAACTAGCTGCCTCCTGCACACCCCCTGCTGGGGATTGAGCCTGAAACTGAGGCATGTGCCTTGACCAGGAATCAAACCAGTGAGCTCTTGGTGCATGGGTCAATGCTCAACCACTGAGCCACACTGGCCGGGCCATATGAGCATTTTAAGCTCAGTTTGTCTCTGTCTCAGTTCCCTATTGCTGCAGCTGGAGGGTGAACAGGGCCATCTGCTGGGAGAAAATGGAATCTTCCTAGGCTGCCCATTCCAGAGGGAGGGAGTCTAAAGGACTTAACCTCGGAGAACTGGCTCGCCCCAGCCCAATTTGGCCAAAGTGATTTGCTGTAAACTCCATAGTTCAAGACAATAGATTGTTTTTGGTGAACTGGTAAATTCGGTAGGATTTGGTGAGTCCATACAGTAAATCAATCCTTCAGAAAATGGCCCATTTGGTAACTCGGTCATTCAGTGACTTGGCTTTCAGCGAATTGCTTCTTGAAATTGACTAGAAGCCAAATGTCTGACTTCCAACACCAAGCCAATGAAGTGGGGGTTTTATCCATGGAAGCACCTCCTTAAGACCTTCCCCCAGGGAGTCCTGTGCTACAACAGGAAAATGAAAGGTGGGAGCACGGCTCAGTAAGCAGTTCAAATCTTATCCGCACACATTTGTGAGCACTATTCTTAAGCGTCCCTGTGATTGACCTCTCCTCTCCCCTTCCCTTCCTAAAAGATGGGCAGAATGGGTGTGGAGGGTCATGGGTGTGTTCAAGTTTGGGGTCTGGGTGATGAATCCAGAGAACCGCTCCCGGTCCTTTTTGTGGAGCCCTCCCGCCCTTAACAACCCCCAATACCTGAGTGACCAGATCCTTGTTTGGAAAAGTGGTAGCCGGTGAAGCCTCAGAAAGAGTCTCTCAACAGCTTTTCTCCAGGATTCCCAGAGGGAATGTTTACAAGTGCTGCCAGGGCAACACCAGTTTCAACCAATGGGAAGCAAAGTTCAAATGAGAACTCCAACTACTTCTGTTAGTAAAGGTAGTGACAGCAACAATCGGACTCCCAAAACAAGACCAAGCTGTAGTGTCCACACCCAGCCTCTCCCCAGCAGGAGATGAGCTTGCAGGACTGTGCCAGAGGGATCGCAACAATGAGCCTCGCAGCTGCTATGTACTGGGGTCCTCATTGTGTGCCAGTCACTGTGTGGTGGGCTCAATATGTAAGTCATTTGCTCCTCACAACAGCCCTGTGAGGTAGGTTTTAGTATTTTCATTACAATTGAACAAACTGAGGCACGGTGTTAAAGAAGTTGCCAAAAACTCAAATCCAGAGCTGTCTGACATTTTTTTTTATTTATCCCCAAATTCTGAGGTTAGGACCTCCCTTATGTGCTTGATTATTTTCAAAGATTTTTTTTCATTAATCCTCATTTTAAAAAATAATTTATTGAGGTAAAATTCACATTACATAAAAGTAACCATTTTAAAGTGAACAATTCAGTGGAACTTAGTACATTCACAGTGTCGTCCCCCCCCCCCCAAATTTTGACATCTCTGAAATGGGAATTCATCATATAATCAATGATATATTACAGTTAAATTGATAGTGTTTTTAAAAATTCTTCATAGTGGAATATAAATGAAGGTGCACCTTTCAGATGATGGTGTCTTAGATTAGTTGAAATATGGTACTTGGTGGATTTTTTTTTTATCCTCACCCGAGGACATTTTTCCATTTTTTGTTCAGATAGAGTGGGAGGGGGAGAGGGAGAGAGAAACATCGACGTGAAAGGGACACATCAAGTGGCTGCCACCCGCACGACCAACCAAGGCCGGGGACAAACTGCAACAGAGGTACACGCCCTTAGCGGGAACCGAACCCGGGTCTCTGTGGACCGCAGGCTGACGCTGTAACCACTGAGCAACCGGCCAGGGAGGTACTTGGTGGATTTTTGAGGGAACATACATGATATTTGATGCACACCACTCATTTACTGAGTGTTTTTCAAAGATGTCTTTTATGAATCCAGGATGGGCGTATACTATAATGGTTATCAGCGTAGACCAAGGAATAATTTACTTAACATTTCTAAGTTTCCTTGTCTATGAAATGGGGATAATAGTGCCTACAAAATAGTGTTTTTTATGAGAAACAGATAATTCTTGTAAAGACTGAGAACAGTGCCCAATACATCATAAACTGTCTCTATAATGGATATATATATATATATACACATACATATATATTATTTTCTGTATTATCATTAATAGGTGTAGTACTATAAAGTGTTATTTTAAGTAGTGAAATCAAAAGTTGTTGGGCCTATGCTAGGACCCAGTTTTATTTTGTTAATTTTATTAATCTATGAAATCTCTAGGGCTGGGAGCCCATACCCTTAACCACTGTTCTCTGTTTATGGAGTGGTTGGCTTCTCACCTTAAGACAATTTGCCTCAAGCCCAACAAAGAAAGGAAAGTACTTTGCTAAGTGTCCTCTTTATTCAGGAAGAAATGCTGAGTTTGCTGTCTGAAAACACCACATCCATCAAGGTCCGGCACACAGGAAGCCTGTAGCAGAGAT